TTTTGTGGAAAGGTGAGTAGAAACATGCTGCTTTAATAAGTTGGTCAATTCTTACAAGAGGCCTATATGTTATATTAACATTATGCTCACCTACCATAGATCGAGATAATTTTGATGGCTCCTCTTAATGAAAGTTTAATTGCTTGATAGGGAAATTAGTTTAAACAAATAAAGGCTGTCCCGAAAGGACTTAGACTTGTTCTAGTACTTCTTTTTTAGGGATTTGAGTATCATTATTCGTTAATCATATGACTTTGTCAAATTTGATTATGTAATATTTGGATAATTATTCGACAATATTAGTCATAAATATAATGCTATCTGATTTTCTTGTATGACATGTATATCAATTCAAGTCTTGCATAGCGTGAATAAAAACAAGTAAAAATGGACAAAATCATTTCATTGCAAAGAGATTGAGTTTACGTGTGTCTCAACTTAAACTTAAATGAAGACGGTCTCTTTTCATATTGTTACATGAGTTGACTCAGTTCACTTTCACTTATATTGAAAAACTAGTAAGATCTTCGTGTAGTATACAGGTGTTCGATAAAATATTAATTGTACAACAAAAACTAAAAGAAAATAAAAATGTTTATATATTTTGTTGAAGTTGAAAAAATAAATAAAGAATTCGTATAGTATACGGGTGTTCGATAAAATATTAATTGTACAACAAAAACTAAAAGAAAATAAAAATGTTTATATATTTTGTTGAAGTTGAAAAATAAATAAAGAACAATGTATAACAATTTATAATAAAGAAATAAGGGAACTAACAATATTATTTAAAATTCTAAAAATTAATTAATATACATCATTAATTTTTATTTGTAAAAGTTTTACTTAAAACACTTGGTATAAAAAATTAGTAATTTTTATCCGACTCATATTACAAAGCTTAATATTTTGCCACATAAAATATCGAAACATGCGAATCTGACACATATTTTCACTTTTTACTAGTCCGTAAATAGATTCACTTGTTTGTTTCAATCAATAATTAATATTGACCAAAAAAAAGAAAAAAAAAACGAAAAGAGAAAAATAAATGAAAGAGAACAACCATTTGTACTGTCTTGACTTGTACCATCAATTAGATATTAATGAAAAGAGCACATGCAGTGCTGGTTCACATATCATCTCAATATAAAAAAACAAGCCAATAAATTTAATTGGACAATGCTAAATTTAACCACCACTCATTTTATTCCAAACCCAATCTAAATTAGCTTCACTTTTTGTCCAAGAATTCTGAAAGTCTAAGTTTAGTTATGGTGAAGGCAAAACATATCTTTCATCTTAGTCTAACCTAGCTAGTACCACCATTTTTCAATCAGTGTTTTAATTTAATGCAACTAAGAAAAATCAAATCTTGGTTATCCAGATGAGTTGGTATACATTCATTGAATTATTAGTTTAACTTGTATTAATAAATTCTCTGCATATATGTATAAATCTTGATGTTATCAGCATAAACAAGTGGGGTTTTATATGTATAATCATTGATGTTATCAGCATATATACAAATACAAGTGGTGTTTGATATTAAAATGAAGTATCAATTAATGAATTTCTCTCCGGATAAAGTAATAATATCTTCCACAGATCTGAATCGATATGGAGTTAAATTAACAACAATAATTAATTTTGTTTGACCTTTCATCCACCTTGGAAAAAAATATTAATTGGGTTGCTTCAAGTATCATGAGTTGGTGCATATTTATAATTTCAAATGTTATACTTTCAAATTTGCTTACTCAACTCTAAGAATGGAGACAAGTCAACCCTTAAATTTCCAATGTAGATAAATAAATACTCCTTATAAAAGAAAATAAAAAAATACTTTGAGACAATCGTAAATAAATTGAAGGAAATGGTTGTATTGAAAACACAAAATCTAAAATGTTGGAAAATGAATACATATATTTTTACTATTTATATTGTTGTACACTTATTTCTAGTTTTCTAGATTTTATTCAAGCCTTTTCCATCACCACTGTTTTAGAGGATATTCCATTTAGGAACATTAAATTTAATTTCTCATTAGTCATTTGAAATCCTCCAATGTTCAAGTTAACCATCCCATTAAATTATTAATTAGGTGAAGTTAATTTTTCTTAATTTCAAAAGTTATAGGAAGTACCCAGAATTAATAGTACTAACACCACACTACTACACCAAGTAATGGTAATAACTAAGGGTGGCAATCTAGAGAATTAGAAACACACATTATTTTGGTGTTAAGTTGAGAAATTTCACCCGTCATACTTTATTAACAAAAATATATATTTATGATGTTAGACTTTTGTGTATGTTGTTTCTTTAAATGTGACGTTCTAATTGAAAGTGTCCAATGTGAAAAAAAATAATTGCTAAATCATTAGGCTTGATTAATACCACCCTTACTGGATTAAATAAGCTAAATTTAAAATTATTAACATATTTATAATCAAATAAAGTAAATAAAGTGAAAACATGATGCTGAAACACACAAAATAAGGTAAATTTTAAATTATTATCGTCTTTATGACCAAATAAAATAAATAACATATAAACATGAAACTAAAACACAATAAATAAGTTAGGAAATTCTTAGATACAAATATATCTACTCAAAATAGATTTTTTTAGTTAACCATGATTAACTTTGAAAAAGTTGGTAATATTAGTTGTTACTGAGATTTTGAGTTTATATCAAATAATATTTAAAATAAAATAACTAAAATTAAATTGATGTAGAAGTAGGAGAGAGATGATGTTGATTGAGTAGTTAAAATTATGTAAAATAATAAATAGTGAATTAAATATGATGTGAAGTGTAAGAATAATGATTGATATTATTTAATTATATTGATAATAATGAAGATAATGAAGTTGAGTTAAAGTTGAGCTAGATTTTGAGTATAAATTGAGTATGAAATGAGATAATTTATAAACAAACACACCCTAAATTTGAAAATATTATCCCATTTATTACCAAATAAAATAAATAATAGAGAAACATGACATTAAAACACCAATAAGAAATCACAATTTTGCTACACCCCTACTAATAAGAAAAAATTCTCAATAGGTTTTCAATAAGCTATAAGGTTAAAATGTAGAAAATTTTTTTAAAAAAAAGTAGTAATAATAATAATAATAATAATAACAATAATTTATTTTTGGAAAATTGAGCTTATAAATAAATAATCATCAATATTACTAATAATAGCTAAGTTCCATCTTCCACCTATCAGTCTTTCTTCAACACATCCACACACATATTCACACACCAGTGTGTGTTAAATCAGTAAAAAAAACTCGGTAATTTCCAGTCACAGGCAGATTTGAAATGTTGACTAATAATGATAATAATTTACACACGCAGAGATACACACACCTGTGCGTGTTTGGCCTCCGCCGTGTCGAGGTAGGCGCAGACCCTGAGTCCGCCGGTGAACTTGAGGCTGGGCATGAACTCGCCGACCAGCACGTCGGTCTTCTCCACCAGCTCCATATCAAAAAGGTGCCCGAACGACCGCACGTCCAGCACCGCCACCACGTTTGGGTTCACGCCGGTGAACAGCGGGAACGCCGGCGGAACGTTTGTCCGGAACACCGTGCTCCCGTACTTCTCGATCCGCCTCTCGAAGAACTTCGCCGGACCCTGGAACCAGAAGTACTGCAGCCGGTCCGACAGCGGCCCGATCACCGGCCACCCGTACCCGCCCGGGATCGACGACCTCTGCGGCGGCGCCGCCGCAGCAGGGGACCCGGAGGAGAGCGATGACGTCATCATCGTCGTGTGTGGCCGTCCGATTGTGGTTTCTCGGCGGCGTAATAGGTGGAGATTTGATTTGGGGATGTGATTTTTGAGAAGCATTTGGCGAGAATTTATTGTTTTTGGAGACCTATTTAAACAAAAAAAAAAATGAAATGAAATGAAATCCTCGTGTTGAATTTCTTTTTTGGTTTAGTGGTCCCTATGGAGTATGGACAAATGTCAGGAAAAGGGCAGCCGTTTGATCATTGATGATGATAAATATCTTTTCTTGTTTTGTCGACATTTGTGGTTAAACTAGGCTACAAATGAGTAGTCTTCTCCACTGGAAATCGAACTTTTTTCTTTACTACTTGAACTCGAGTTTGAGCTTGACGAGTCATAAAAAATTGTATTCCTTGACTCATGAAAAAAAACATGATAATGCTCGAGTTCGCTCGAAATTTTAACAACTAAATTTAAATATAAAGATATTGTTGTTGGCCTTCGTATTATAATATTGATAATTAAAATATATGAGTATTTATGTAAATACAAAGTTGAACGTCGTCGATCTTACGAGCCTCTTGAAATAATGCCTGAGACTTGACTCGTTTGCATGATTGAACTGTTCGAGCTCGACTTTAATTAATTATAATTTAATTTTAATTTAAGCAAAATATTTCTATTTTAGTGATTTAAATAGTAATAAAAATAATGAAATGCAACTAAAAACCACCACTTGATATTTACTATAATCTCGAAGTTGATACAGATTCAGTTAGAGCATCTCCAATGAAACACTGTCCATTTAGTGTTGTATGATATGAAGAAAGTAAATAAATAAAAAAAAAATGCGTCTTCAATGATTATTTGTAATTGTGGTATCATTTGTGATGTGTAAAAATGTAATTGGTTGGAGAAGAGAGATAAATTTAATAAATAATACAGTATATATAGAAGTTGTTTACAGTTCTAGATCTAAAAGATTTCTAAACATTTTCCATGCCACAAGAGATTATTTGTGTCATATGGCAGCAAAATAGAGCAATGAAAAGGCCATTGGAGATGCTTTTATAAATCATCCAATTGCGTCAATCAATAAAAAAACATAAATTTGAATTGAAAATGTAGTCCGGAAGATCGAACACAATCGTTGTCCCAATCCTTTTATCCAACAGATCTTATATTTGACGCATCAAACTATAAATCTTAAATCTTCCATGAGCAGAGTAGACATGACCAAAATTGGTTCTGGGCCAGGGTTTGGATAGTCATGAATCGGCCCAAAATATATGCACTAGCCAGTTCGGTAAACTACCTTCCAGGCTGGCCCAGTTCACTAAAAATAATAAAAAAAATGAAAAATAAAAAAATAAAAAAGAGCCAAACCGCTGGGTCCAGTTCGAAACCGATCCTGTTCAACAATTACATATATGCAGTCCGGAACAAGCTCGATCAAATCACGGGTCAATTATGTCGATTCAACCCGTGGTCATGTATGGAACGAAGTAAATCCGTCAACATTTTAACTTAGATCAACTTGAGTTATTCACAAGTGGTAGTCAAACTTTTATTTAATATATGGTGTAATAAATAAATCAGAATTTTAGAAACTTTTTAAGTTTTCTGTTACGTCGGTCTAACCATTAAACCAACATACATTAACTTACAAATATGCATAATATCTTTAACAGATGTCATACCTTGAAAGATAACATGAAATATAAACAAAAGTGTAACACTTGAAAATATAAGTCTGACAGATCAACTCGCTTAAACAAAAGTATAAATTCACATAGTATGACAGATCAACTCGTTTAACAGTTAAACTGACTCATGCAAAAATATGTGTCTTACAAGTGATGTAGGGAAGCGTACGAGTGGGAAAGATAAACGAGATACTCTCTCGATAAAACTCACAATCAATTCATATTTCATTCATAATCAACCATCTAAAACAATAGATAGGAGTCCTTTAAATAAGGCTCCTAAACCCTATTCCTGATTTATCCAACAAGACAAGATCTCTTATAATAATATTTAATTTCTAACTTATTCTCCAAGATGATGATGATGATGATAATAATAATAATAATAATAATAATAATAATAATAATAATAATAATAATAATAATAATAGTCTACACCATTCTCCCTTGGTTCGGAAGGCTTCGCCCTCGAAGCCGATACGCTCACGTGGCCAGCGTCTGGTGTCGAATCCATAAGAAGGAACCCCCGTCGTTTTCCCCGATCAAACACGAAAGTTGAACGTCCCCCAACCAATGCAATACTCTTGTGATTTTAATCAAACAAGGATACGACTACAGCTCTCTCACCACCATCAGCAACAAATACCAAGACTCTTGGGCACAACCAAGAGCGAGCACATCTGCCTTTAGGATCAGATACCACACAAAAAACGTGGTACCACATATCACATGAATCACAAACAATGGATGCATCAATATCTGAATATACATCAATTGATACCAATCCACTACAAATTTTGCAGTCATCTCCATTCATGCCGACAACTGCATTCTCATAATTCCCATGTCCCCGCAAACATGTCTCTCCGTCACCGGAGGCTCTTCATCAAAGATCGGCAGAGCTTAGTCTCGACGGGCGGAGGCAGAAAGAATCCACCTCCGAGATGATCTGCTCGCCGTCTGCATCGTCGGACGGCGGTTGTGGAGATCGCCGACGAGGCGCCTCGCCTGGACCACGAACTCCACTTCCTCCCTGAACTCCCCCGCGCACACCCCAGTCGCCGGCGACACGGTTCATCTGCAAATCCTAGACCACGTTGTTAATCGTCAAATGCAAATCCTCGATCCCTGTCGAAAGATCTGCAAACCAATCCGTGAAACGCACGTCCAACTGTTGAAATCGGTAGTCGATCTGCTGAAATCGATCGTTGAAGGTTGCATCGCGTCGTTTGTTTGCGGCATCTTGTCGTCCCGGTGGCATCGCGAATCATACTGACTGATGATACCAACTGATGTAGGGAACGAGATACTCTCTCAATAAAACTCACAATCAATTCATATTTCATTCATAATCAACCACTTAAAACAATAGATAGGATGTTGGGTTCGCTAGTACCGTACGGGCTTTAAGCAGCGGAATTTAAAATTTTTCAAAATAAGTATTTATCGTATAAATACAATACCCGTACATACTAATTGCGAATTAACTGATCGTCATTTTTAAAACATGCATCATATACAAATTTTGATTTGTTATATAAAATAAATACAAATACAAAGTAATTACCGAATGTCTTGAACTCCTTCAACGACGATGTGGATTGTGGGAATCGGTTCCCGGTTTGATAACTTCAACGGATTGATGTTACTCACTTTAGGAATCCAAGTGTCTTCCCTCTAAACGTATCCACCCTATGAAGCCCGGTTCCGACGACCTTCCTTCGCTAGTAGGAATGTCTCGGTTTTCTTGTATAGGAATATGTATGAATTTTATTTTGGGAATTTTCAAGAACTCTTTCTTGATGTTTATGAAGAACTATTCTTCTTTCTAACACTTAGAAATTTTAGGAATGAATTCACCTTAAATGCAAAACCATTTTGCATCTATTTATACTAAACATTTTAGCATAAAATAATCAACATTTAGTAATATTTAAATAAAATCAGATTTTATTTAAATAATATTTACTAACTATTGACTTTGAATTTACTAACTATTGACTTTGAAAATAATAAATAATGTTAAGTAGTTCAAACCACCTTTAACCACCATTTTATTATAATCATATTTATTATTTTAATCCTTAAATCATATTTAAAGATAAAAATAATAATAGAATAATAAATCTTGAGAATCTTTTCAAGACTTTATTATTATATTCATTTTCCCAATTACATCCATATTATAATAATCATATTATTATTATTTTGGTTTGGAAATTTAAAATCCAATTTTAAATTCCAACATATTAATTTAGTAATTACCTTAATTACTAAAGTAATATCCAAAATGTAATTAATCAATCTTATTGATTAATATATTCCTTTTAATTAATATCTAATCAAATTAGATTATGTCAATTAATTCTAACTCTTTAGAAATACAATTTTTCACCTTTGTTCATAATAGGTGTGACCTTTTAGGTTCACCTTAATACTAGTAATGGGTTTACAACTCTTTGTAATTTGAGTTAATCACATTAACTCTTATTCATGAATTAACCCTTTAATTCAAGAACCCACAT